CTACATCTTGGATGCCCTGGGGGTAAGCAGATAAACATCAAATGTTCATGTTTGGGTGAACTATCCCTTTAATGCATATTTAAACTTATTAAAGAAATAAAATATACCGTCAGCATACATTAACTATAGTAAAAGTGTCCACACAGTAGCTTAATGGGAAAGAAAGTGATTGTATAAAATCCTGTAAAGCCACTTAGAGATCCTCTGGCATGGATATACATGTGAAACGGTAAATTATTCAGACCCTCCATCTCCCTTTGTTCCCTTTTCCGTGCGTTTGGGGGCTTTTTGGCCAGGATCCACCTACTATAATAAATAAATAAGATGAATTTCCACTTAAGCCTTTAAGCTCGACTACTAAAGCCATTGATCTTCTTTCATCTACAATGTATAAAGTAAAATGTGAAGAAAAAAACACCAGGCAAATATCACTAATGGAGTTAATGCAGCAATGTTGTTGATACAGGCCACTGTGTGAGTCAATAGTGTCCTGATGTAATAGATCAAGACCCTTGCTAGATCCCAAAGTTGTGTTCATAAAATACTGTTTCATGACATAGTGATCAAGTCTAAAAAATGATTTGCATGTCTTTGCACAAAAATAATGGCCCAACCTGAGTTGTTTGTGTGAAACTTCAGAATTCAAAGACGTTTTTAACAGGAAAAAGCATCAGTCGAGTTAGTCTGAGTGTCAGATGAGTTTTTCTTGTGTGTGTGTGTGTGTTTCAGTTTGTGCGGGCTGTGGCAGAGATATTAAGAACGGTCAGGCTCTGTTGGCTCTAGAGAGTCAGTGGCATTTGGGCTGTTTTAAATGTAAGGCCTGTGCCAAAGTATTGACTGGAGAATACATCAGCAAGTAAGACACATTTATACACAAAATCCATCCATTCCATCCAAAATGATGGATGACGGTTATGCATTGGTTTGTTTTCTGTATGTGTGCAGAGATGGCGCCCCCTACTGTGAGCGCGATTATCAGGTCTTGTTTGGAGTGCAGTGTGAAGCATGTCAGCAGTTCATCACCGGGAAAGTCCTGGAGGTACAGAAACACACACACACACACACACACACACAGGTCTGAACTGATAAGAAACTGACACCTTGAAATACTTTTTTTGTGGCTTTTAGTTTTTTTCTTTGAGCAGTGTTGTTATTGTTAACTAAAACTATTAAAAAGGTTTTTTATAAGTGAAATAAAATAATATATTAAATGATATTAAATGAACAACTTGGCAGCTAACTGAAATAAGTAAGTTGAAGTGCTAAAATTACATTACTAAAACTAAAACTGGAAATGCACATTGCAAATATAAAAATAAAAATGAATTAAATAATGATGTGTTATAATATTATATAAATAATACTAAAATAACACTGGCTTTGAGGTCATCTAAAGTGTAAAAAAAATCAGTTTTTGAAGTTGTAAATGAAACATTACTGGAGTATGTATTACAAAAAAAACACTATTTAGGTCTTTCTTCAAAATGTCATGTTTAATTCAATGTGTTACTTGCTGTTTCTTTGTGAAATTTACTAGCCATTTATGAGTGAAAATATTTTATACACCTTTTTTTCAGTGAACATAATGCACAGATATACACACATTTAAAACAAACAGTTTCTATCAGTTTCTTTTTCTAGTAAATGCACAAAAAATATTGGTGCAATTTCTTTGTAGGGACATTAACGGAGGCTTGAGGAAAAAATGCACCACAAAATACAAAAAAATAAAGAGGAGCCAAAAAAATGCTCCTTCACAATTAAACCAAATCTATTTTGGCTGTCGCAGATAAAGTCAAAAATGAAAATTAAATGCAAAGTGTAGATTGCAGCATTACATTTAGATCTGCTCTTGTTGCATCAGATGTCTTTTTATGCAGTGTTGAGCGTTATAACCAGTCACACATGTTTCTGTTGAGTAAATGAATGCAATTCACTGAAATCAGAATGTACGTCTATTAACATCATAGAAGTTTTTTTCTTAATAGAAAAGTTCATTTCTGACCCTGACCTGCACCCAATCTAATGCGTTAACATTAAGCAGAAAGTAGCTTAAAGTCTTAAGCAAATAATTTGATAGCCTAACATTTAGACACTTCAGCACCCTGTCAGAATATGTCCAACTTCCTGTTTGAATAGGAAATATGTCAACACAGGAAAGAAAATTGCATTCATCGAATGAGCCATCAAGTGACAACCCAACACAGTACTGAAATGTTTTGTTTAGATTGTAATCAGTTGCTTAATTCCCTGCATTAAACGTTCTGGTCAGCACAAACCATGTGTATCTATGTATTTAATGTAGTCTGGGTCATATTTCCTTATTTTTCTTATCAAGATTTTTCAGAACAGACCTATGACCCATTTTGGAATCCTAACCCACCATTTACGAATCGCTGTTTTTAGATGAACAGTATATTTATCACTTGACCGCACAAATCATACTCCTGTATGTCCCACAACAAAACACACTGATTGCGACACAGATCTGCAGCAAAAAAGCATGTTACACACTTCTGATATCTCGCATATAAACATCTAGAGCAGAGGTGGCGAACGTCGGTCCTGGAGAGCCGCAGCCCTGCAGAGTTTCACTTCAACCCTAATCAAACACACCTGAACAAGCTAATCAAGGTCTGAACGGTTACTAGGAAGCTACAGGCAGGTGAGTTTTAATTAGGGTTGGAGCTGTACTCTGCAGGGCTGCGGCTCTCCAGGACCGGAGTTCGCCACCCCTGATCTAGAGTTTCACAATAGGCTCACAGCAGACTCCACAGTATTGCAACAGGAAGTTTCATCCAGTTAATTGAATCTGATTGGCTATGAGAGAGACAGTTGCCCTTTCTCATCACACTTGTGACTGTTTTCCTGTTTGTTATAATGGAATGTGTTTGTGCATCGCTGCTCAGGAGTGAAATGGACTTTGTATAAATTACTTTGAGTAGTTTGAGTAGTTTCACAAGATACTGCACAGGACCTGTAAGTCTCTCTCAAGACTGGTTGTTGTTTATGAATGTAAAATAAACAATATTAAATAAAATTAAATAATAATTGTAAACAATGTTAAAATGACTAGTAAATTTAACAAATAATTACAGAAGCAGCAAGTGAATTAAACATGAAATGATCCTTGATTGTGCATTCATCGTTAAATTGTTAAATTAAGCATTGAATTAAATGTGAAATTTTGAAGAAGAAAAACTAAAAGTTTTTTTTTTTTTTTTTTTTTGTAAAATGTACTCCAGTAGTCTTTGTTTTATTTACAACTTTAAAAGAAATAATTTTGAAAACAAAAGTTTTCAGATGATTTCTACTCTTTAAACAGAGTCTGCGAACACAGAACATTTCTGTATTATATTTGATAAGCTTGTTGGTTCTGGTCATTTGAATAAAATATGTGTCGTCTCACATGATACACATGCAAAACATCAGCTTCTCTATAACAGTCTGTTTGAGTTCTCTGTAATAGCTGTTATACAGTTTAACTTTGAGTGTGTGTTTCTCCACAGGCAGGGGGCAAGCACTACCACCCCAGCTGTGCTCGCTGTAGCAGGTGTAACCAGATGTTTACTGAAGGAGAGGAGATGTACCTGCAGGGTGAGTCTCACCCTTTACAGATGCCACATATAATATACATTTATTCTGCAGAATGCTTGAACCTTTGTCATTTTACTAAAACAGAACGTCAAAAGCCTTTTTTTATGATTTAACAGGCCTGGTCAACTATTGTGACCAGCACTATTATGAAGTAATCATGTAAATTCAATGTAAATAATTGTAGAAAGTTTCATCACAGCTGTGCTTGACACGTGGCTCTGGATTTGACTGGTCCGAGTTTGCTACGGTGGACTGAGCTTTTTTAACACATGAATTTGATCTTTTTGATGTCAATATTTAATTAATGTCAGAGTCATTTAAATTAAGTGTATTTGTTTATTATTATTATTTTTTTTTTTAGCTATTTAATTGCTGGACTGTTTAATCAAATAAATCAATTTCTTATAATTCAAATAATAAACTGACAGTGGTTTGGTTTACAGTGAGGTTTTTGTTGTCTAGTTTCACTGGATCGTTTTAAGCTGAGTACATGGATTTTGAAAAATAAATCTTGAATGCCTGGGACTAAAGAGCTATTTTTAAATTTAGATGTATGTATTTTCTATTTATTTATATTGTATTGTATTGTCTTATGTATGCTATCTATAGGATGGCGGCAGACAGCGATACACTATAGCATTCAAAAGTTTGGGTTTGATTTTTTAAAATGTTTTTGAAAGATGTATCTTATGCTATTTTAGGATGCATTTATTTGATCAAAAATGCAGTTAAAACTATAATATTGTGAAGTATTATTAGAATTTAAAGTGTAAATTATTCCTGTGATGCAAAGTTGAATTTTCAGCATCATTACTCCAGTGCGTTTGAAATAGAAATCTTTTGTGAAATAATACAAATTATATGTCTTTCCTGCCCCTTTCGATCAATTGAATGCATCTTTGCTGAATAAAACAAGTAATTTCTCACAATATAGGCTAGTTATTTTTTATTACATTTTAGCAGAATGACTGAAGAAACGCCACAAAAAGGTCAGATGCTTTGTCAAAAAGAGACCCAATTGACATGACTTAATTATTTTTACCATCTGTTTTTACTGTTTATGCAGGATCAACAGTTTGGCATCCAAGCTGTAAACATTCACCCAGAGGCGAGGAGACACAGCGGGTACAGTCCTTTCCAAGTCATTCAGTGTTTACATGTGTGTCCTGTGTTTTTGCTCTCTGTATGTTCTTCTCTACTAACACTTTTCTGAAAGTAAACAGATATTATTGTTAGCTGTGAGGTTGTACTTTCTCCTTCTGGCTGTTTTTAGTAGACTTGTCGCTCAAACAATCATTCCGGGAACATCACTAATAGACTAGGTGGTTCACAATCTTGTGTGATGTCCAACCAAACCCCTGTGTCTTCCTCCACAGCTATTGCCTGCGTCTCTAGCTCTCCTCAGCAAAACAGAAAGGCAGGTACTGTACTCGCTGTTAGCTGCGCCATGGCATCGCATGACCATGTGCTGCCCCCTGGAGGCGGCAGGCTGCTGTGCTCCTGACTGGCAGCTACACTGCAGTGTTCAGACCGCCTGCTCTCAGTTTTAGCCATAAACCATCATTAGCATCTGGTTTGGTCCATCTCACAGACGCTAGTGCTACGGAACAGAGAGTTTTTGCCCAGTTCCTCTGTTATTGTGCCAAACAGGCCTCAAATCAAGCTAAGCTGCTGTAATCACGCATGGTGCATTTCAGCATTTTAGCATGTATGCTGAGTAATATCAGATGCACTTGCATTTTGATCCTCAAGCATTTCCTGCCATCGGAAACATGAAATTGCCATCGATGAGTCTCATTCATTGTGTGGAAGGCAAATGAATGATTTCTTTTAGGTTTGTTTCCAGGATGCTGTCATCATTTAGTCCTATCCGTCACAATAGATCATTGTTTACAGGTTAAAGTTTTCTTACATTTATATTTGAATATGTTATATATATATTACAACATGTATATTTTGATCCTAAGAAGGATTTATTTATGTATTTTTAATATATTTTCCTCGCACTCGTTTTAGATTTGTTGTGCATTCTTTGTTGTTTATGATGAGTCTTAGCTTTGATCAGCTGATTGATTTTCTGCAGCATGATTGGCCAGTAGGTCATGAATATTTTAATATGTCATAATGTATCTCTTTACAGCCATGTGCAAGCAGTCACAAAATGTGTTGACGTATAAAAGTTAGACTACATTAGGCTCATGTGATGCGCAGTAATACAACTCTTCTGGTAAAGGCTAATGCAACATTTATCAGGTTTACTGAATAATCACGTCAGTGGTGAACATCCAGTGGTTTAGCGGAAAATGCAAATGCAGATGTTTTTATTTATTGCTTATGTTATACATAGGTTGTTGGTTCTAAACCTCTGCTTGTTCCACAGCCGACACGCTCGTCGTCCGAGAGTATATGTTCCAGACCTGGTTCAAGCATACCTAGCTCACCGGGTCACACCATATATGTAAGTGTATCGCTTCAGCATAGTGTAAATATATTTCCACAAAAATATTAAGCAGCAGAACTGTTTTCAACATTGATAAAGATTAGAAATTATTCTTGCGCAGCAAATCGGCGTATTAGAATGATTTCTGAAAGATCATATGACAATGAAGACTGGATTAATGATGCTGAAAATTCAGCTTTGGATCACAGAAATAAATTACATTTCACAGTATATTCAAATAGAAAACAGTTATTTTAAATTGTAATAATATTTCACAATATTACCGTTTTTTGATCAAATAAAAGCACTCTTGGTGACTTCTTTCAAAAAACATTGGTTACACTTTATTTTAAGGTGTCCTTGTTACAATGTAATTATACATTTAAGTACTGAGTAATATTAATTAATTGCATGTACTTTACTTACTCTGGTTAGGGTTAGGATTATGGTTTGGCTTAAGGTTACTTGCATGTAATTATGCATAATTAATTATTATTATAATAGTAAGTACATGTAACGTGTAACAAAGACACCTTAAAATAAAGTGTTACCAAAACATTTAAAAAAATCAAACTTGTAGACGGTAGCGTAAGTGCTTATAACTATCATACATTTTATTGAACTTTACAGTGTTATAAATTGGCTTAGCCGAGACCTCCTGTAGCTTTCTGGCTGTTAAAACTTATAGAAGTCCTCTGTCTGATAGATGGCTCTCTTTCCTGTTACTGTGAATCTTGACAGCAGTGTTACAATATAAATGTTAACTTATTAAAGCAATCACTGTAACGTAAGTGGCTTTTTGATTTATTATTATTTAAAGGGGTCATTGCTAAAAAAGAACATTATTTTGTGTATTTGGTGTAATGAAATGTGTTTATGTGGTTTAAGGTTAAAAAAACACATTATTTTCCACATACTGTACATTATTGTTTCTCCTCTATGGCCAGCCTTTCTGAAACGCGTCGATTTTTACAAAGCTCATCGGTCTGAAAACCGAGGTGTGCTGTGATTGGCCAGCTATCCAGTGCGTTGTGATTGGCCGAATACCTCAAGCGTGTGATGGAAATGTTACGCCCCTTACCATATGATGCCATGTCCCGGCGCGATGAGACAAAACCAGTAAAACATGTAGACATGTGGGGGCGTGTTTAAACGAGGCGTTTTAGGAGGGCGTGGACGAGTCTCAACTTTTATAAAGAATATCTCTTTGGGTTTGAGACTTTAGTCTTTGCAACTTTAGGGATCTTATCTATTCACGAACAGCTTGTAACACTCCAAAGAGGAAGGAAAACTTGAAATCGCATCATATGACCCCTTAAATGCTCATGCTCAGACCCTTACATTGGTCTGGAAGAGACTTTTTATAGAACTTTATATTTTCACTGCTGTCATGTAGAAATGCAGATGTCTGTGTGACTCCGTGTGTGTTTCTGTCCCCTAGGCAAAAGTAGACAATGAGATCCTTGATTACAGGGATTTAGCAGCCATTCCCAGGGTCAAAGCCATTTATGACATTGAGCGTCCAGATCTAATCAACTATGAGCCACTTTACACCACCTCACTGGATGAGTCAGAGGAGAGAGAGAGTGTGGGAGAGGTAAAAATAAGTCAAACCGAAGCTCTGTTCCAAGCCCTAGTGACCTCTCTATCTAGACAGCATTATAGGTCACACGCTTCTGATGTGAAGACTGGTTCAGTAGGTAGCAAAATGATGCCACATTCTAGGCAAATTCTACAGCAGCATTGCATATATGCACTTAAATTTGATTCATCAGATGAAATTATTATATGATATTATAGGATGCTGCTTTAGAAGGCACTTAAACAGGAATGCCGCAAACTAGGGTTTGAAACAGAGCTCTTGAGTTCAGTATGGTATTGAACACAGACTAATACATTTTTTCTGCTTATATAAAAGTGATATTTATTCACTTACAGTAGTACTTTATTTCACGTTCACCTGGCTACACCTTTCTGTTGACAGCTGCAGAGCTCCAGGAGAGAGTGTTCGCCTATGCCAGAAGACAGAGTAAGTTAGTCACATGACCTTTCACCTGTCTGCTGATAGGCTGTTCCACTCAGTCTTTCCCATATTATTGGTGCTGTCCTAAATCCCACACTCGATGTGGAGTAGCAGTCTTGAAGTAGTCCAGGAGATTGTATTGTGTCCTATTTATGATTTTATGATTCAGATGGATGCTCAAGAGTGCTCTTTTGTAGCCGCTAAGGCCACACAAATTATCTGCAGGGCATCCAGATACTTTTCTTTACTTTTTAAACTTAAGTCCTATAATTTTCACTGATGACTCTCATTAGATTCTTTTTAAAGTAAAACAATAATGCTTTTGTGTTTCATTATTGTAATGCAGTGGTTTTTAATAAATAAATAATCATAAACGCATATAATGCTACCATGATAAATACTTGATAAAAAAAGCTCTCTTTTTTGAGGCAGTGTACTCATTTTTTGGCAACACACTTAATGTTTTATAATAAAATGAATACATTTGCATGCAACGGTGCATTACATTTGTAAAAAGTGACAGTAGAAATATTTATAATGTTACAAAAGATTTCTGTTTCAAATAAATGCTGTTCTTTTGAACTTTCTATTAATCAAAGAATTAATGAAAAAAAGTATCAGCATTTCCACAAAACTATTATGCAGCACTGCTTTCAATATGATAATAATGTATTTAATTTCCATGAATATATAGACCAAAATGCAAAAATAAATAAATAAAAAAAGCAAAATATGATTTCTCATTTCTCAAAGAATAATTTCTCAAATTTGATTTTGGGTTCACCGCCATAAATAAATAAAAAAAATATATATAAAAAAAATAATAATAATAAAAAAACAAAGTTTTCTTTGTACATGTATTTAATTTTTTTCCCCTTTTGTTTCAGACCAGGTCACCCACACCAACTGCTGAGGTGAGTCAGATTTAGAGTTTTATTTATTTATTATTATGTGCTTTATTGGAAAAATGCAGTTTAATTTTCATTCCAAATATTCAAGAATTTATTCAAAGATGTTGTATTGTAAGTGGATCACATTTAGATTTTCAGATGAAACAATAGTGTTTTTTTTTTAACGGTGCATGTTTCCTGTTTTTACCAGGGTTACTACGAGATGAGAGAACGAATACTCCATCGGTCGACAAGTCAGGGCTCCATTGGCTCGCCCATTTACAACCGCCACAATTACACTCCCACCCTGTCACGCTCACCACAGCACTTCCACAGGCCCGGTGAGCTATGTGTCCATCAGTCTGTTGTGCTCGAAAGACTAATATTAAAATTTCATCAAATCAATTTCTCTTTTCCTTCCATGGATTATTTACAGTTATCTAATATGGCTTTGTGCTCCCACAGTGCCAAAATGAGTTTTAAAATAGAGAAAGCCGGTCCAAATCTTCTCTAAAAACTCTAAAAAGGGCTGGGTGTTATAGCAAGTATTCTCAGTTGAATTTTCATTTTCGTGATAATTAATTGTGAACTTAATGTGTCATTTTTCATGTATTAAATGGTTTAATGTAGATAAATGTAACAGTGCCTAGTAATAAATAACCAGATCAGTGCATATACATGATCAAGTAACCTTTGTTATATTTATTTAAAAAAAAAATTTACATTAAAAAAAATAGTTTGTGTGTAATATATATATATATATATACAGTATATAGATATAGATATAATTTTATTTTTTTTTTTAAGATTAATCCCTATAGTTAGTTTATGTATATTTTTATATATAGTAAAAACAGTGTGTAAACATGGCTTAATTTAGTTTTTTCTCGTTCTAATTTTTCTAAATTCTAACTTCTGTCTTTTTGATTTTGGTTAAAATTAAATTTTATTTTTTTTTTAAGATTAATCCCTTTAGTTAGGTTGTGTATATTTGGTAACACTTTAAGGTGTCCTTGTTACACAAGTTACATGTACTTACTATTATAACAACAATAAATTATGCATAATTACATGCAAGTAACCCTAAAGCAAACCCTAATCCTAATCCTAACCCTAACCATATAGTAAATACATGTAATTAATTAATATTACTCAGTATTTAAATTTATAATTTAAAAATTAAGTGCAACTGTATATTTTTATTTATTAAAACAGTGTGTAAACATGGCGTATATCAATATATATATTTCGCCCAGCCCTAATCTGAATTATTCTCCCTATTGACTTTGACCATGTTTGTGATTGGAGGCGCTGAGCCGTCCAGTGGTCGGAGTTCCCCAGGGGCCAGCAGCCCTCCTCTCCTTCTGACTCCTAAACATTTTCACCTGCCAGGTACTGTTGGAGTCTTCCAGCGGCCCACTTTGTGTCAATCCCAGCATGCCCCTGTGTCTAAGCACATGTTCACCATTCATAGCATTTTCTGTGTCTGGTTATCTCTCTGTCTTAAAGCAACAGTTCACACAGAAATGAAAAATCTGCACGATCAAACACCCCTAACATTTTCTTTCAGAAAATGACAAGATCTTTCTTTGGTAATAGCATATCCAAAGTGTATGTGGTGCAGTTGTCAGTTTTTCAGATTTGATTGTTTATTGGTGAATTTTGTATGTGTTATCGATTTTGTTTCTCCTTTTAAAACCAAATATCTGTTATATTAAGAACTAAAATGAACTAATTTGACTTTTCCTTTCTTTCAGATCAAGGAGTAAACATCTACAGAAAACCCCCTATCTACAAACAGCACGGTACAGTCATTCAGAATCTTTGAATTCAATGCTTTATCTTTCACAATAAAGAGATTATTAGAATTTTGACACAGGCCTGTTGATTTATAATGTACAAGCAGTGTTTCCCAGCCATTTTTGTCTTATGTACCCACACAGCTCAGTATTAAGTCACCAACCCCAAAACTTATAACTCGAATTATACTGGATATCATTTAGCATTATCATTAATGTTATTTAAATGCTCATTATTATGATTCACGTTGTAATCAACATGGTCCAGGCACTATGTTAAGACCTATTAGGAGTTAGTCAAGTCTTAATTTTCAGATTCAAATTAGACCAGTCTACCCTTTTATGTAACTGAATTTAAAAAATGATGACTATGTAATTATTACAGCTAGAACATTTGTCAAAATTAAAGCAATTTGCACTCTGTGCATGGTGAAATTGAAATGCCATAGAGGTTCAAGTATGAAATATCACACAACAGCAAATGCATTGCCAATGGTACAAATTTTAATGAGAAGCTACAACTTTTTTTAACAATGCAAAATCAAAAAATTTTAAGCACACCCTGAGGCACATGCACCCCTGGTTGGGAACCGCTGTTTTTAAAGGATAGTTCCCTTAGAAATGAAAACTTGCTGAAAATTCACTCACACTCAGGCCATCCAAGATGTTAGATAAGTTTGTTTCTTCATCCTCTGCAGTGAATGGGTGCCGTCAGAATGAGAGTCCAAACAGCTGATAAAAACATCACAATAATCCACACCACCACACAGGTCCATCAATTAATGTCTTATGAAGCAAATAACTGTGTTTGTATGAAACAAATCCATCATTAAGATGTTTTAACTTTAAACTTTCGCTTCTGGCCAAAATACATTAGTATTAGAGTACATAAGTATTAGAGTACATTAGTATTAGAGTACATAAGACATAATAACACTTCCTCCAGTGTCCATCCCCTGTTGTCCTCTCACATAAAAATCCACCAGCATATTTGTTTAGAACTGTTTTTGCTTGATCTGTGGATATTTCTCTCCTGATACAGACGAGACCATTTTTTCACTGGAGAAAGCAATATTATGGATAGAGGACTCGTATTTTAGCCTGGAGCAACAGTTTCAAAGTTAAAAACATCTTAACGTTGGATTTATTTCTTGCAAACAAACAGCTTTTCACTTCACAGGATGTTAATGGACTGGAGTTGTGTGGATTAATTGTGGATGATTGTGATTCTTTCTATCAGCTGTTTGGACTCTCATTCTGACGGCACCCATTCACTGCAGGGGATCCACTGCTGAGCAAGTGATGTAACGCTAAATTTCTTCAAATCTGAGTAAACAAACTCATCTACATCTTGAATTTTCAACAAATTTTCATTTTTTGCGAACTATTTCTTTAAGTATTGCATTGTGAAGATTGCATCTGATTGAGTTCTTAAGATGCTTGCCTGTATTTACTTATTACTTTTTATTGGTTTTGTTTAAAATGTTATATAGATTGATCATTGCAAGCATTAAAGCACTCATGTTGAGAAACTAGCTGCTCTGTTTACTGGTAAAGTCAGTTAACACAGTTTTATTCAGCATCTGCATGATGCTGCAAGACTGACAATGTATACTGTGCAAAGTACTGTGCATGTTTTCTTTAATGCTGCTTGGCTCACAACAGCAGGTCAATAAAAAGACAGATCTTAACAGTTCATCGGTAACCTAGTTAACAGCCAAGGTTGTTTAAAGTTACCTTAACAAACTAGCAGCCAGAAGATTTTTATTGAGAGAAAATCAATGTCAAGGAAATTCTGAATATTTCACATCATGACTGTATATAGTTTGTATGTCATTTTATCATATTTCTGTGTTTTGTTTGTTTGTTTTTATTTGGAAACTGTGAGTCCCTCCACCTCATTAATATCTGCTTGTGTGCCATTAAACACCACCTCAATGTAAACATGTAAGTATTGTTTGAAGTCTTCTCAACTGAGCTCATTTCACTATTAATATTAATCAACCGATCAGTCAAATCATCATTAAAGCATCTTCTCCTGATGAGTGCCTGATGAGCTTTCATTCATATTCATAAATAAGAAAACTTGCAAAAAATTGCAAGATTTTTTAAAGTTAGATATGCATAGTATCTGCTAATGTATTTACTGACCCCTTATTTCCAAAACTGGTAATATCATATTTGCTATTTGAAAAAAAAGATTACATTTATTTTAAAATTAGAAATTACACCCTAGTATTATTATTTGTCAATAAGCATTCAAAAAAGAAAAAAAAAATTGGCTAAATCTTAAATGTGTTGACATTTAAAGGGGTCATTATCATACAATTTTGTATTATTATTTATTTTTTTCCCCAGGGGTCCATTTATAATGTTAGTATATAATATCTGTCAAAACATTATAAGTTGACAGTTTTCCACTGCCTCTCTGACCCTTAGAATCAAATTGGTTGTTTTTTGTTCTTATTTTTTTGTTGTTGTTTTAATTTATTGTGCTGCTGTTCCTTCTTCGCATGTGAAATGAGACACAGCGCTTTTGCTCTTGCTTATGAGCTGCAGGTTTGCTGTTGAGTTCATATTGTTCTGCTCCATCCCTAAATAATCTCCACTAAATCTGCATGTGCAGCTAAATCTGTTAAGATCAGCATAAAAATGATGGGATCTTGTTAAAAATAAATAATAATCAAATGCAGAGCTGTAGGTGCTACACACCAGGGTTACTTTAGTTAACTTAAAAACTAAATTAAATAAAATAAACTTTAACTCAAATGAAATTGTGTGTGTGTGTGTGTGTGTGAGCTGTTCCCAAAGCAACATTTTTAATTTAGTTTTACCTGACATAAAATGTTAAGAAAAATTATTGAGACATATAAAAAACAAACATGCAACAAAATTACTAAAATGAAAATGCAAAAAAAGAGAAAAAAAAAAAAACACAGAATATGAAAAATCGAATTCAGAATATTAAAATGATAATAATAAAAAAAATAAAACTGCTACACACAGCCAGGAACAGCACAATGTTTGGCCGAATGTGTCTTCATCCATACTATAAAAAAAAATATATATATATTAGTCTATAATCAGTCTGATGTCAGTAAATTTAGAACAAGAGGGGGTTTTATTTCAGCTTAGTTGGAAATTGGATTATTCATGATAATTAAATGTTGCTATATTTATCCATAGATGAATTCAGCAGGTCGGAACCCACTGTCTGCGTATTAACACTTGCAATGCATTCTAAAGCCAGTGATGGTTTGTCAGATTGCTGCATGGTTTATTTTGGCTGTGTGATGAGCTATGGCTTATGATATAGCATGTTTAGCATGCAAGCAGACAGCCAATAGCCTCCAGTAGTAAATATTGCATTTTCTTTGCTTTAAATAGTGAATGTGGGTTATCAGAGGCCATAAACCCATGACCGTATGCCACATATGGCTTGTAGCAGGCTTTTTCTGCTATATGTTGGTTAGATGTTGGTCTGGCCACACTGATGGTCCACAGCCTCCCCCCGGTTTATTGATCTAGATTCAGCTGCCTTTGCAGCCCAGAGCAAGTCTGCTGATGACATCATCAAATCGGCCAAATTCCCCTCGGCGTACACCCCTGGTCCAGACTACCCAGCAAAGATAGAGACAGACTGCTGGTCCTTCCCGATCTCCCATGCTGCCCTAGGTACTGTGGTCACCCATGATACATCTGTTCCCACAGTCTCGGTGCTTCTGCCTTGTTCGAGTTTACCCAAAATCAACAATTTCCCATCATTTACTCACCCACATGTTTTTTAGGCTCTGTATTATTACGACACAATTGAGGTGTTTCACAAAAAATAAAAATAAATATTCGGTGAACTATAACCTTGACCTGAGGATTTAAAGCAGATGTATAAACAGATTTTTCTAGATAAAGTAAAATGCTAGTGTTAATTAAGCTGCTTCTGCTCTGAACAAAATGTGGTCTAGAAACATTTTCACTCAGAAATTGCTAGTAATTTTTACAATTATTTACATAGATTCTATGTAGTAAATCGGTAAGTTTTTTATACAGTGTTTGTGATTTAGGTATTAATAGTTTAATATTCAATATCAAATTTAATTCTTATATACAGTAGTTTTTCTCACAGTGCTGTAAGAGTTTGTTTATTAAACAAACACACACACAGCATTAAAAAACATTAAAAAAGGCTGAAATCACCCAGCTAACAGAGAATCTTCTCAGAACATTCTGGCATGGTTCTTTCAAAGTTATGACGAAACATTCTTCCAGTAATGTAAATAGAACATTTCTTCAAAGTTACCTGGTCTTTAATAATGTTCTCAAAACATTAGCACAAAAACATTATTTATACATCACTCGTGGAACGTTTTCTGAAACATTTTATTTGGACGTTCATCAAACATTTTTTTATGTTACTACTTGTTTCAGAATGTTCAGAGAACATTAAAAATGAACATTCCCATAACATTTGCAAAACTGTAAAATGGAATGTTCCTTTAAAGGGTTAGTGAAAATTCTGTCATTAATTACTCACCCTCGTGTTGTTCAAAACCCGTAAGACCTTCGTTCATCTTCGGAACACAATTTAAGATATTTTTGATGAAATATGAGGACTCTCTGACCCTCCCATAGACAGCAAGGTAACTACCACGTTCAAGGTCCAGAAAAGTACCAAGATGATCGACAAAGTAGTCCGTGTGACATACTTTTACAATTACACAGATATGTGCATTATTGAACCCATTTTTTCATAGTAAATGTGTACTATGTTATTAAAATTGCAGATGGAAATTCACCCTCTAAAACAGGCTCACTGCCTGGATATGGGCGTAATGGACTGCATCGGGTAAGATGCCTTTATTATTGTCACTCAGTATTTAATATTACTTATTAGTATATGATTAAAAGATATATTATTGAACCCATTTTGTCTATTGTATATTTTTCTCCAGCCTCAGTCGACTGATTTCACTCAGTATAACAGTTATGGAGATGTGTGTGGTGGGATGAGAGGTTAGTTTATTCGTATTTAATTTAATTTAACTTTAATTACATACATTAATTTGTAATGAGAGCAACAGTAATCACATGTAGGCATATATATTGTGGGAGTAGTATAATGCATATAGATGATAAAGCATCATTTTTAAAGTGTCCAATTTAATGTATGAATATAAAAATACAAATCTTTTTTATTTTCTTTTTTACAGAGTTTCAGGTATGTAGATATGATTACCTGTTTAAATCACTCAAATGTGTTTCCATCTATCCTTATTGCACCCTTATTGTAACTAATATGTGATATTCTTTAAAAATACATGTTCATACTCATTCATAATACATGATGTGAAATCAGATTGAAAGATGCAGCTGACTTCTCTTTAAAGTGTTCTCTCTCTATTAATGATTTGTTTCTAGCCCATGCATGATGGCCACCGTACAGCCACCAGAATGGACAGAGGAGTGTCTATGCCTAATATGCTGGAACCAAAAGCAAGTCTAACATATTAAAGTAGCATATCATTATCGGCACTATTAGATGGCACTATTAGATGTTGAATATGAGTTCAATTATTAGGCTGTTCAGCATTCAGCGAATTACTTGGATGTAATGTAACTATGCGGCCTGATTTATTAGACCCTACATTTCAGACATTAAAAAGAGTTTGTGGAGAGTTTGAATTTTTTGTACTGATTGATATGTGTCGTTTGAAGGTGTATCCATATGAAATGCTTATGGTAACAAGCCGCAGTCGCTCCAAACTGCCCAGAGATGTGGACAGAAGCAGACTAGAGGTAATTTCTCACAGTATCTGTGCAACAAAACACTGTATTATGATGTAACCAAAATGCCCACTCAGAAAAATATTTAGGCCTAAAGTTTTTAAGATTTCAATTGCACATTAAATTTCCACCCATTTGGATTGTACAGTTTTAACACAGTATTAACAAATTAATAAACATAATACATAAATGAATCGATAGGAAAGGAGTAAGATTTCTGGAATAGTACTTAACCCAATAGTTAAACAAAGATTTAAGATTTAGCCATATTTTAAATATGTTCACTTTTAATTAAATGTAAACATATCTATGCTGATTATAAGCAATTTGAATAATTGCATTTTGAAAATATGATTTGTTTTTTCTAAGTGAAATCAAATAGATGCAAACTGTTAATAAGAGCCTAAACTATGCGATGATTTTTTTTAGTGCAGAAATCTTACCCGTTTCATTTATGAATTTTATATGGAAACCAGTTTCCACCACAGGGTTTAAAAAAAAAAAAAAAGTAATAAAATGAAAACGTGAATTTAAATAAAAGTGGGGAAAAAAAATCACAATACTGACAAGCCAGCCGCAGAGTATGATAAGCAACCGTGACAACTGCGATGTTCGCTTTTCTTTTTCATTAGGATATTCCCTTCTTGTTTAATGCATTTGTATTGAATGGTTAATAAGTTAATAATCATAACAAGACTGATTACGTTTTCTATTTCACCTGCATTTCTAGCGCCATCTGGCTCCGGAGACGTTCTTTGAAATCTTTGGGATGGAAATTCAGGAATTCGGCAGGTTACCTCTGTGGAAACGCAATGAACTGAAGAAGAAAGCCAGACTCTTCTAACCAGGATCTACAACATCTGCACACACTCACATGATGTATCATCCAGCTGTTTACTCCTCTTCTGTTGTTTCTTGCTAAAATTATAGCCAGAAGGACGCTCCATGCTGCAATATGATGTCAGTTTGTAAAGAACAGAGGGTCTTAACATTTCAGCTGAATCTCCAAAATTCTCAAATCTATATATTTTTATTTTGTCTCTGTTGCTTTAATTTCCTCTCTTCCAGAAAGGATTCTTCCTCTTTTTGTTCTTTGTTCTTCTTGCATATCTTTGTAAATCATGTTCATGCGGGTCGGATTATCCAGACCTTTGTAAATTTGCAGTTATAATCCTTTTAATTCACTGTTCCAGTAAAGACTCCTCCATTTGCGTCACTTTTGGTTCAGGGAGGGATTGTAGATGCTACACTGTGTTTGGTGTCTGTGTCTTTGTACCTGTTCCATGTAATGCATTCAAAGAGACTTCATCCATACTAGCATATCCATGTATTCACCCTTTGCTACTGTACCAGACTCCAGTTAACATCTGTTAATTAAAGGTCAAGTGTTTCATTTCTGTGCCAACAGCAGCACTAAACAGAACTGAAAAAATATTGATCGCTGTCAAACCCACATCATTGGTTACTGGCTTCTCAAACTGATCATTTTTCCATTTGGTGCCACTAACTGTTCAGAGGTGACACACTAAACCTTTACGCTTTCTGATACTGATTTAACTGTTGAATCGATGCTGATGTTCCTAGTATATTGTATATTTAAATAAAGGAACTGCATTTGATTTTCTTTTTTTTTTTAAAGAGTGGATACTCACACTGCCAATTTATTGTATTTCAATTGTATTTCTGAGTAAAGGTAAATGTCTCAATGTGCAACTCTCAGTAAAAACCAAAGGCATTACAAGAGGACAGGCTCTATGAGAGCTGTAGTCTACAACTGTTTTTTATTTTATCCTCATCAAATCAGATGTATTATTGGGTCGTATTTCTTCATGCACACTAGAGTGCACTGGACTTGCTATGAAGCTCACAGTGAATTAGCTGGACCAAATCAATGAATTCATATGAAAACATTATCATTAAACACCATGATAACTACATTAACGGGTTTGAATAAAATTTGGGGAAACAGATTACATTTACTTCCTCCTCTTCTCTCTTTTTCTTCTCACAAACAATCATGTAATTGGGTGTAATTGACTGGAGTGGCTGTCAGTAATGAGTTTCCATTATTTCCATCCTTTAATAATTTTACTGAGACTGCATGCATGAATAAATAAATAAATTCACGAAGATATTTCCATATATTCCATTTATTTCCTTCTCCATTGCTGGAAACCATACTATTTACATCCCGTCTTCTATTATTCAGCGATATTGTAAGCTTCTATAACATGTAGGCTACAGTAGTTTTTATGGACTATTCTATGCAATGCATCTTAATATATTGGATAAAATATTACACTCATTTTAATTTGTAACATTAATTTTAAAATATGGAGATTATGCCAGCTATATCTTTCAACACAAAATCAGGTAAATTTTAAATGATTTTGGTTTGAGCAGATGTCAATTTTATCAAGTAGGAGACAAAATCGGCAATTTATGAAGGAATAGGCTATTCCAGCGGGGTTTGTTTTGTTTTGCTTTTTTTGGCTGTCCTAATGACATCATCCAACAGAAAGTGACGTTATTTTGGAGGGAATTATTCCACAAAACAAACATCAGTAAGTAAGCTCTTTGATGTTTTGTTTTACGTGTTACGTTTGTCTCACTCTAACATTTCATCTCATCTAATAAAATTTAAAGAGGGATAAAAATATCAAAATGAACCTCAAGTTGTAAACAAACTGTTACTCCCTCACAGAGCAGTGACTGTTTATTCCCATTCTGTCAGGCATGATGATATTTCCTTGCTAAGTTATTTCTGAATGTCTGGTTTGCCCTTTTACAATGATTCTTTAGATGACAACAGAAGTATATTACGGTGGCCGAGAAGTGCAAAGCAGATCACAATTCTGAAAACAAAATAACAAATTACAAACGCAAATGCAAGTCTAAAAAACAAAATAACAATTCAGAAAGCACAACAACAATTCAGAAAACATTATAACAAGTCAGAAAACACAATGACAAATTCGAAAACAAAGATGGCTAAAGAGATGATCCGAGAGCGT